AACAGGCGTTAAGGCAAGAAACAAACAAACAAAAAAAACAATTAGAATACAATTTACCTTGTTTTGTGATCGACCGATGGTGGTTGAGACCACGTCACTGCAGGGACACTCATGGCACGGGGGGCTGGGGAAGGGGCGGTAGCAATAGCCTGTCAATCAATAGATCATTAAATCAATCAGTCACTTAATATATCCTTGATCAATACACAAGTAATACCAAACCATCTTGTCATTCGTCACGCGCATGGTAAGGGAGTTCTTTCCAGTAACTCGTCGCTCCCTTGTCACGTGCCGCTAAACTCGCGCGAGCCGAGACGATAATGAATTCAAGGCCCTGTACACACTAGACCACACTACGCCTGAGAAATTTGAGAAAGCAACTTTATTTCTACGGTTAGGCCTACCGTCCGTACTAATTCGCCACGAAAACGGAGCTTTTCGAAAACGCTCTTCAAACCGGAAGAATTTGAAAACGCCACCTTTTCATTTTAGTGTGGACTGAAAGCATTTTGAAAACGGAGCTTTACGAAAACGATGAGGTAACGACAACCATGTTATTCCTTAAACACAAATCCAAAATGACCGATGATTGTTGCGTTTTCAAATTTCTGCTTTGTAGCGTAGACGGTTCCTCAGATTATAATCATCACGCAATACTGATAATGATGATTATGATGATGATAACAAATTAATATTTTAAGGGAAGGCCTCCAATCACCTAGAGGTGGTTTTCAGGGGTGTACTCTAAAAAATAAAAGTGAACTCACGTGACATGCTGACTTAATACTGCGTTTGATGTTGGAACGATATTGGTCAATTTCCTTATCTTCAGACCGGCGGTGTTGTCTGCTTGATCCACTAACGGAGGAACAAACCTTGGAGGTGAAAAAGAAGGCTCAAACAAGGAACGTGAATGGTAAACAAGAATTCTAGTTGGGCAGCTATATCTCTTGTTATATTTGTTTTACCAAGCTGAACATTTCCCTGATTATAAAACTCGACGTCCTGCCTTCCCTTAACATATTATTTTTACCACGTGACATGTCACGTGATCATTTTGTTAAAATTTGGTAAATCGGCAAATTGGTGGCGAATTTTCATTCTATTGATCAATAAATGAGTGTTTGCGATGCAAATTTAAATTATCTACCTTGCTAGGTTTGGAATGATCTCTATTGATTTTGTTTATAGAAGATATAAATGATCAAAAGTCAAATTTTGTTGGAAAAAAGGACCTTTCACCCTATAGAATTTTTCTGTGAAAAGAGGGACGGTCATTCCAAACGCGAGAGGATAGAAATTATTGACCTGCATCTAAAACGCGTTTTTGCAAGATGTTATTACTAAAAACCGCCACCAATTCCTCAAATAATGGCTATTTTCCGCTTAACGTCACGTGACATGTCACGTGACCTGTCAGAAGTACCTATTCTACTTTAAAATGTTCAGGACGTCAAAAAAACAATGGCTGTGCACGTGCGTTATAAATCTCTGTACATTTCTTTGCCGTCCTCTGCAAAACAACAACGTGAAATGAGCAAAATTTTGCATTGTCTGGGGAACGTCGACCATTTATAGCATATTCAGCAAGGGCAAGTTTTAATACCGACAGACACACTGGATAGTTCCAAATAAATGCGAAATTCCAAAGTAAAATAGAAACACATTTTTTACCAGGCGTCGTCGTCGCCGTCGTCGTCGCCGTCGTATATGCGTAAGGTCCCTAATGATTTATAACGCACGTGCACACCTATTGTACTACTCATTAAACGTTTCTGACCTTTCTCTTGTTGTTCTCTTTGCGTCGCCGTTGTGGTTTACTTAAGTTCCCTAGCGTTGTTTTACCGTGGACGGACGATATTTATAACGCACGTACGTACCAATTATTCTGCTCTGGTTAAACCTTTTGTTTGGTGACGTTTTCGTTGCCTTTACCTTCGTGGTTTAATACAGGGAGCTTAAACAATTTGAAGGCGGCGACGCCAGAAACGACGCTAATATAATATGGATATATATTTTACCTTCGTATTTCGTAGCTATCTGAACCTTTTCAGTGCGTCAATTGGTCTAAGGACCTGCTCTAACTAGATAAGTAATGCCAGGGATCAACACGAGAGATGCGAGATGCGAAAACCGAAATGCGAAAACTTCGACGTCGTGGCGGACGTTCTCAAAACAACAAAGAACTTGGTCATTTCATGTGGTTGTTTTGCGGAGGACGGCTGGGAAATGTAAAAAGATTTAAAATGCACGTACATAGCTATCGTTCTACTCGTTAAACCTTTTGTTTGGTGACGTTTTCGTTTCGGTTTACTTCGTGGCTTATTAAGTCCCTACTGCATTGTAAACATGGAACTTTAAAGATTATTTTTAAGGCAACACTGTTGCGTTAAAAATCAATGTCGTGTAACGTCGCGCAGAGGGCGACTTTTAACGCAACATTTCGTGGCGGCAACATGGTGCAGGTTTTTGAAATTCAGAATCCTACAACATTGTTGTCTGAACTTAGAATGTTGCGTTAAAAATCTCTCGTGTAACATACCGTTGCCGACCGTTGCCGCAACAAAGTTGCGTCGAAAGTTGTCTAGTGTAACATGCATTAAAATTCGGCCGTAAAAATCGGCTTGTGTAACATCACCTGAAAAGAAAAATTATTTGGACTTACCATGCTTTCCGTGTCGCCTGTTTCAGCGATAGTGCTTTCTAACCGTGGCCCTCTCCAGCCCTTGTACCTGCTGTCATAAGCTGGGGTTTGCCGTCGATTTAACATCATGAACTGAAACACACAAAAGTCAAAATTGTATCGCACGTAGATTACGTATGTAATTAATTTTCAAAATAAAAAAAGCCAATTTGGCGAATTCATCCTACAGCAAATACTTAGCCTATAAACGTTTACCTAAGATGCCTGTATACTGTGTTTCAAATCTTCAATAGTACGTTTTCAATAATTTGAAAACGTTCCTGATAATCAGAACCGCCATTAGAACCGTAAATTGTTCGACGGAGTAAAGTTTGTAAGAAAAAGTTACTCACCAAGTAACTTGTTTTTATGATTTATACTGTCACAAATAACTAAAATCGACACTGACGAAAATCGAGCTGATGTCCAGAACTGTTACGTAAAAGAGTTTGACGATACAGTACTTAATCTTTACGTAGAGCGTACAAGAGACGAAAAATCCTTGAAACAGGCAGGAGTTTTGCGTTTGAAGCGAGAAAGTTTGAGACAACCGATCTGTGTATTAAAGAAATTCACAACACTGTTCTTATCTAAAAAAAAAAACCTTTCTATCAAGGCCAGGATTAAAGATAATTCGCCACTGAAGTAAAATTGAAAAAAAAGCGAAAAGTTTGCAATCGTTTGATTACCTTTGACTGTTGACTTTCGCTGTTTGAATCGCCTTGATCAGTACGGACACGGGAACGAAGTGAAAATGCTTCTTGGATTCCCCAGCGATACGTATTTGTCAGAAAATCAAGCAAAATATTTCACTGCTTATGTTTCAAGGCGTAGTTCACAAATATTTTGATTTTAACTCGTAATTGAAGGAAAGATTCACACTTCGTACAATGAAATATTTTTGCCGACGTCATTGAAAACGTGCTCCTTCACTCTCGGCCAATCAGCAGACGTCATAGTATCCAGAGCGTTACCAGTGTTTCGCCGACCTCGTCAACCTCGTTCGCATGGCCAGGAAAAGCCATGGGAACGAGGTTGAGACCACATGACCAAAGGCAACGGAGACTCTGAAGACGAGAATAAACAGAATAACATGGTCTTCGTATAATTTTTAGCTCCGCGTAAGCGAATTTTTGTCGCTTATCAAGAGCGCTCAACACGAGCACAGGATATGATGCAATCATACCGAATCTTTTTTTAAAAATCAATCAGTTATTGCTTCAGCTACGGAATCGAGGAACCATCCAAAGGTTCGTAGCAGTTGAAAGGTAATACTAGCTCGCCGTCAGAGAAACAAAATGCTAGCCCTGATTGGTTGTTTTAAACTTACCACGTGACAAAGTCGTGCAAAGACAAGGCGTAAACGACCTCGTTCCCAGTTCTCTCGCCACCATCATTGCCAGGTCTTGGAGGGATGAGCGACCTTCAGAGCGTAAAAACGTAATAAGCATGCGCGAGTCTGAGTCTTGGCTGAGCGCCAAGACTCAAGTCTGAACAAATGGCGGGAATTTCCACCATCGGGTAAAGCATCAACATTTTAACGTCACTAAAGGAAAGCTGGTGTGTTGTTTTCGTGGGGAATCAATTTTTTTTGGACAAAATTARCCTAGAAAGGTTTCCGAACCGTCTGTTTCCCCGAGGTATACAAGAAATTTCGGTGCGAAGATACATTTTTTTTTCCACAAACCCTCTTTACATATTGCATCCATATAAGCAACCCACTGAATATACAGCAAGAGATCCTCTCAGCAGGCAGGGGAAGCCTTGTTTTCTTAAAAGTGAAATGCTGAAAAAAAATTCATGCTTGCCCAAGTATACATAGATCAAACGAGCGACATCCTCGCGTACCTTATATACAGTCTGCCGCTCTTTCCACCATTGCAGCTTGCATTATTACCTGAGCCCGCAATTAGGACTAGGGATGCGCAGAAAGCTGCGCCGTAGGTTTTCCCGCTCTGAGCTGAGCCACCTCAATCTCTCGCTTACGTTTCCTCACAAAACATCAATGAGAGGCTACGGTTTTCTAATGTATTGTTATCCAAATACGACGGTACGTATGCAATAAGCCCTTTGCACGATCCGGTCACATGGTACGGAATTAGTTATGCTGGGACGCAAGTTACACAGTGGGACTTTCAAAACAAAGGAAAGTCGGGTGGGACTGGTACTAGTTTCTTTATTTTGGAAGTCCCACTGTGTAACTTGCGTCCCAGTGACCGGATCGTGCAAAGGGTCTATTGAGATTAATAAGGTAGAGGAGGAGATAAAAGGTAATATTACTTGGCAAACACGAAAATGACCCACATTCACGATAATATTACTACAAAATTTAAAACGTATTTTATTATCGACTTGGTTAACCAATTAAAAGTGTTTGCGTTCGAACTTTGGCCCTTTGCCAGAAGGTTCGCTTTCTCATATGTCCTAAGATCACAGCGCGTGTTTTATCTTCCATTATCTTCAAGTAAGCCATTCTTACTGAAGCTTCTTAACATTCAACACACACATGATGAGATCTCTCTCCCATACTCCCAGCGGTTATTCCAAAACCCAGCACATAGGTAGCCTCCAGGCCCACGCGCGCGGAACTGCGGTCCTGTGATGACGTAGTCAGGGACCATATTTGAAAAGGGTGATCTTGTCATTGGAGGAATCGTGGGTGTGGCTAACTGTACGGCATCTCGAATCCCTTCGATGGAATTCCCGGATATAACTAAAGCCAGGCGGGAGCCAGCATGCGGCGCTAGGAAAACCGCGCCAGTCTGGGGAAAGGAAAAGGTACACTCACCTGTAAACAGAAAAAAAAAACGGTTACAACAAATGTTTCATTTGTCTGTTTGTCTGTATGTGTGTTTAGGTGTTTGTCTCGGGAGTTTTACCATAAAAGACTATTCCACCTTTCCTTCTCTGAAGTCTAATAACAAGAATATCCAAATGGTTTATTTGAGCAGCTTTCGTTTGAGTGTCGTAAATCCAAAACCAAAGCTTTCTCAAGGGCCAATCATAGGAAGCGTCCATAACGCAATCAACCAATCAGAATTCGAAGCGATTTCAGGTAGCCCGCGTCAACGGCGGGAAAACGCGTCAGACCCAATCACGAGTGGATTTGGTCTAGCATCTGATTGGTTGAATAGGTGGCGTTAGTTTTTTTAAAACGAATCAGAAAGCAGACGTTCCTGCCGAAGAAGGTCTACGAAATTTAAAATTGTCGTTTTATATCTGAAATGAATCACAGAGTGACCAAAACAATTTACGGAGTACTTTCGCCGCTCAATTGACACCGCTCTATCAAACTCAAGTTGTGATCCATGGTTTTAAGCTTTTTCACTAGAAAAAGCTCAAAACCATACCAAGGTCACACAAGACCCACATCAGGAAGCCATGGGCGTCACGAGCGACTAAGAAAACACCACAATATATTTATTGTTTTTAATTCTAGTCGAACTCGTTTGAAATTTAGCAGAAATCTTGGAATGGCCAATTTTCACCGAGACCAGTCTGCAGGGAATCATGGTAGTTGTATTCATCATCTTGGACTGAATATTTGTTTTGATAAATACAACTACCATGATTCCCTGTAGGAGCGTCTTAAAGAGGGAACTGGCCGTTGTTTTCAACGTGAAGTACGTATATACTGTAACGTTACCCAAACCACTAACGGTAAAGGGAAGGCGAGGAGGCCTAATGACGAATATGTTCAGATCCAGCTGCCCCGGATGCAGCCTTGTTGCCAGGGCTTTTCCCTTGAAGTTTGAAACGGAAGGCCAAAAGAAAAAATCCCTGGAAACGAGGTTAATTGAACGGTCTAATTCTTGTCCATTAACGGGAAACTTCATGAATCCCAGTTATGCCAAACGTACCTAAAGTAAGTCTATTATCTTTGTATTGCAATGGTACTTTCCCATGATACTTCTCAACCCAAGAATTTTCCAGCGGACTGCCCACGAGAATCAAGTTGTACTGTTCAGCGGTTTTCTCGTTTAACTCAGCGTCGGAAACAACTGGTGCCCAGGCGTCGGACGTTAAAAAGAAGAGATTTGCAATGTACACTGCGAACTGTCTCAAGGCTGCTGTTATGTGATGCTGCTGAGACGACGTACCTGCAAGAAGATGGTGTATTGTTAAGGAAAAATTACCTTGAAATCGAAAAACCGCAGGTTTAGAAAACGCTCGACTGGAAACGCTCTTCAAACCGTAGGAATTTGAAAAAGCCGGCTTTTTGTGACGTCGTCGTTTTTGAAAAGCTCCGTTTTCAAAAATGTTTTCTGTCTACACTGAGACGCAAAGCCAGTGTTTTCAAATTTCCTCGGCTTGAAGAGCGTTTTCGAAAAGCTCCGTTTTAGGTAGACAATTTCTCCGGATTAGTGTGGACGGAAGGCCTAAGCGTAGAAAAAAAAGCTGCTTTTGTCTTATTTCCCTGGCGTAGTGTGGACGGAAAACATTTTGAAAATAGAGCTTGTCAAAAAGCGATGACGTCAGGATGATCATGTGATTAACCCTAACCTTCAAGGGTTCATTCAAGCATTTCTGCCGCCGGTTACAGCTGCGTTTTACAATTTCTCCGGCGTAGCGTGGACGGAAAACATTTGATGCGTTTTCAGAGTGAAAACCCCGTTTTCGAACTTCTCCGGCGTAGTGTGCATGACGCCTAAATGTAACATTGTGTGGCAGGATATGTAGAGTATACTCGTAGGCTACTGCGAGAGCGTGTGGAGGGACACAATAGAAAGTC